TTCCTCAGTACCACATAGAAATAAAAATAGCCAGAAGTGGTACTGTGGATCAAGTGGTAGAGTTCTAGCCTTGAGCAAAAAAAACAAGCTCAGGGACAGTGCCTAGGCCTTGAGTTCAAGCCCTAAGACTGGCCAAAATAACAATAGCAAAAAATTGTATTTTGTGACTTTGCTAAACATTATAGGTAGATCATTTTCCTATTAATTTCTTAGCATTTTTCTGTTTACATAATCATGCCCTGTGTGAGTTTGGAAATTTTTATTACCTTCTTTCTAATGTATGTCTTTTTTACATGTTACTTCACTGGGTAGGGTCTTTGCAAAAGTGATGCCCAGAGTTCAAACACTGTTACTATAAAGCAAACAAGTAAGTAACAAATAAATAGAAATTGCTCATTTTACTTAACAGAGTAGTGACTGAAATTAAACCTCAAATCTCACATACTTGTGGAAAAATACTAAAAAGTTGTTCTTATATTATCATATGCCCCAAAAGAAGAAAACCAAGATGATATAAGGAAAATAATTAATGCTAGAAAACATACCAAATTCTGTGAAACCATACATATTTCCAGGTTCAGGGTACTTTGTGAATCCCAAAGTGGGGAAAAAAAGGTGCTAAAGGTGCTAAAAAAGAAAAGGTGCTAAAATTCAAATGTAAGTGGAAAAAAAACTAAGTATCCAGAACACACACAGACACACAGACACACAGACACACACACACACACACACACACACACACACACACACACACACACACACATTCTCGCTCTTTCTTTCTCTCTCTCTCTCTCTCTCTCTCTTTCAGTAAAACACTATTTTCTTCATCACGAATGAAAACCTGACATGTGGAATAATCCTTTATGCTGAGAAATAGCAGTTCACATCACTAAACAGTCACCTTACAAAGAGTGGCTTTCTTTTTTTTTTTTTTGGTCCAGTCATGGGGCCTGAACTCTGGACCTACGCGCTGTTCCCTCAGCTCTTCAGCTCAAGGCTAGCGCTCTACCACTTGAGCCACAGCGCCACTTCTGGCTTTTTTTCTTTTTGCTTATGTGGTGCTGAGGAATCGAACCCAGGGCCTCATGCATGCAAGGCAAGCGCTCTACCACTGAGCCACCTTCTCAGGCCCTCTTTATATTTTTATATCTAAAACAAAGGTGGGAGGCTGAATTTGGCCTTCAGGCCTTGTTCTTCTAATCCTTGATAAAGAAAGCCACTCTTGGGGCTGTGAAGGTGGCTCAGTGGTAGAGCGCTTGCCTTGCATACATGAGGCCCTGGGTTCAATTCCTTAGCACCACATAAGCAAAAAGAAAAAAGCCAGAAGTGGAGCTGTGGCTCAAGTGATAGAGCACTAGCCTTGAGCTGAAGAGCTGAGGGAACAGCGCCTAGGTCCAGAGTTCAGGCCCCACGACCGGACCACCCCCCCCCCCCCCCCCCCCCCCGCCCTCCAAAAAAAAAATACATATAAAGACACAGCACCATGACTATTACTCATTGTGGCTATTTCAAACTCTAATAGCAGAGTTGAATAATTGGCAGCAAAGACTGTATGGTTCACATAGCAGAAAATCTTTACTATCTATCTGTCTAATTAGACAAAGTGTACAGGGCTACTGATTTAATACAAGCACACAACACACAGTGCATTATATCTACTAGATAAATCCTAGGAAATCAGTTATCAGGATAAATATTCAGAACATTTTTAGTTGTTTACTTTTTTCTCTTAGTATCTTATTTTGAATTTCCTAGTGAGGTATAGATTAGTTACATTCAAGTTGTGCTGCATTCTCATAATTTAACATTTGCCCTGAAAAATTATTTTCTAACATAGTGTTTATGTGTCAACTACTTTATTCCACCAGCTTTCTGTGTGTATGTGTGTGTATGGATAAGAGAGTGTGTGTGTATTTGTATTTGTGTTTAGGAATATTCTAAAGATTGTGACTTCTCATTTAGAAAACTGTAGAAGTAACTTTGCACGTCTCTATAAATTCCATGCTGCATTTTGATAGTGCAGTAAAATTGAGGGAGTTACCCCTCACATTCATAACCTCCACAGTCTGAAGATGCAGGCTTTTTTTTTTTTTTTTTTTTTTGGGTCCCGTCATGGGTCTGAACTCTGGGCCTGGGTGCTGTCCCTCAGCTCTTCAGCTCAAGGATAATGCTCTACCACTTGAGCTACAGCACTACTTCTGGCTTTTTTTTTTTTTTTTCCTGCTTATGTGGTGCTGAGGAATTGAACCCCAGGGCCTTATGCAAGGCAAGTGCTCTACCACAGAACTACCTTCCCAGCCCAGGTGCAGGCTTTTTTTTTTTTTTTTTAATTTAATTTAATTTTTTTGTGAACATACTGTACAGAGGGGTTACAATTACATGGGCAAGATAATGAGTACATTTCTTATCAAGCATTGTAGCCTCCTCCTTTGTTTACCCTTCACATCCCTTCCCAGCCTCCCCCCCCCCCCAAAGTTGTAAAGTTCATTTTCGACATGACAACTTGTACTTCTCATTGTTGCAACGGGTCCACCTGTATCCTTAAATGACTTGTTTTTTCCCTTCTCCTCCACAAATTATACCGATATCAAATATAGTGAAAGCAGAGATTATACTGTGGGGGAGGGACATACAAAGCAACAAAGAAATAATCTTATAAATGCATTAGAAACAAATGCATGAAAGAAATAAAACATTTAAATACATATCTAAGGGTTCATTTTCAGATGCAGGCTTTTTAATGCTAGTTTTGCACCAACAAAGATTTAGGGTTTTAAACTTAAGGATTCCTTAGCAGCTCTTTTTTTTTTTTTTTTTTTTAAACTTTTGCATTACTGATATCCTTGTCCTGAAGTCAAGTATTTTGGTCATTCTCAGAAGATTATTTTGTACTGCAATTCAGAGAGGCTAGGGAGAAGGGAAGAGAAGGACTAGGAAGAAAGGGAAGGCTAAGAGTTTAGTTATATTCATACTCTTTTCCTTTAACACAACTTACAGATCACAATACTTACTCCTAGTCTTATCTTCAGCAGGAACTTTGTTCATTTAGTCTTCACTTTCTTTTCTATATCTAATCTTCCTCCACCTTACTGACCAATGACTTCTACCTGGCTATTTATATTGAATTATTTTCTATCCTCAAGGTATCCTATTACCAGTTTTGTCTCAACTCTGATTCTTTTTCTAGCTACAACTCAGTCTCATTCCTTAGCTTCTCTGTCATGTGTTTCAAAGGAGTTTACATATAGCATTTTGCTATTATATCCTCTAGACCTCATTTTCATACTGCTGTAGTAAAATTGTTGGACACTGTTGAACACTTAAAAAGTTTTAATAAAAGATTTACATAAACTCAGTGCCTGTGGCTCATGTCTGTAATGCCAGCTACTCAGGAGGCTGAAATCTGAGGATTATGGTTCAAAGCCATCCTTGGCAGAGATTCTTAGCTCCAATAAACTACTCAAAAAAGCTAGAAGTGGCGCCTTTGCTCAAGTGGTAGAACAGTAGTTTTGAACAAAAGAAACTCAAGGATAGAACCCAGGTCCAGAGTTCAAGCCCCAAGACTGGCCAAAAGAGAAAAAAAATTTACATGTAGTTTAAATAGTCTGATAGTTTGCAAAGGTACTTGAGAACCTAGGTAATAGTCTTTCCCACCACTTCCATTGCTAAAGCAGCTTCTGCTTTACTTACTCAAATGGAATAAGTTTGCAAACACTCCTCTTCTTGATTCACTGTGCACATTCTTGGCTTCTTTTTTTTGGCGGGGGAGGGGGGGGGGCGGGTCCGGTCCTGGGGCCTGAACTCTGGGCCTGGGCACTGTCCCTCAGCTCTTCAGCTCAAGGCTAGTGCTCTACCACTTGAGCCACAGCACCACTTCCGGCTTTTTTCTTTTTGCTTATGTGGTGCTGAGGAATTGAACCTATGGCCTCAGGCATGCAAGGCAAGTGCTCTACCACTGAGCCACCTTCCCAGCCCCATTCTTGGCTTCTTACACAGCTGATGGGAATTTAGTTTTCCGATACTGTGGTGATGATAGGATATGGAACTCACAGTATAATAATATATCAGTTTTAGATACAATGTCTTATCTGAACCTATCAAATTATATAGATATTGGGGCTGGGGGTTTAGCCCAGCGGAAGGGCGCCCGCCCGGTGCTTGCAAGGCCCTGGGTTCGGTACTCAGCCCTGGAAAAAAAAATTATATAAATATTGTTCATAACTAACCTTCTTTTCTTGATACTCTTCCATCCCTGTAGTTACAGTGTTCTGTATGGATTTTAATTTATTTCCTCTCCAAAGTCATTGGGCATTTGATAGGGTTATTGATTGGTTATTGATTACTTTGGTAAGTCTTCCAACCAAAGGCATAGGATATCTTTACAAATTTTTGTATTTTCTTTAATGTTTTTCAATAATGGCTTGCTCAGTTCAGTGAAGAAAGCTTTTTTCTTTCTTTTTATCGGCACATTTATTTCCTAAGATGTTTTAAATTTTAAATTTTGATGTGATTATATATGAAATTGTTACCTTTTCTTTTCTCATCATTCATCATTAGCTTGGAGAAAGCAATGACTTTCGGGGTGTTTCCTATTATCTGAGATTACTAAATTCTTTTGATTTGAACTGAATCCAGTGGAAAATAAAATTCAGAACAAATAATAATGGGATCCAAATACTACATTTTATGTTAGTTTTGGTTTCTCAGTCCAAGATTATACTTGTCTAAGTGAGCTAATTTGAAGATTTGACCTGAAAGAATGTAAGTATAGCAAAATAACTTTCTGAAACAGTTCAGTATAGCTCTTAATAACATTAAAAGATTGTAAAAATGGTATTTCTGTGGTATTTTAGAATTTCTGGCTCTTATTGTGCTTTATTGGTGTGGTTTGATGGAAGTTGATGTCACACTTTTTTTTTTTAAACTTTTCTGTAGTGAGATTTACTTTTGGGTATGGATGCTACATTTAGCTCTTTGTTTTTTTTTTTTTTTCTTCACAGGCTACAGAAACACTATTTAGAATGGGTGTGGCAAGAGGAGCCATCACAACATTAAGAAATGGAGAAGTAAGATGAGAATTTTGAAATAATTATTCGTGTTAATTCATACTTTACAATGTCTAAAATATAAAATGTGAATTCTGTAGGATTTGTGTAACAAACAAATACTTGATACATGTGAGTATATGTGTACAGATCAGTTTTAGTTTATTGTTTATGAGAATCAGATCTTTTGTTGAAAATAAATTGCTCAATGTTTGCTAATTGTTTTTACTCTTAAAAGAAAATAACATGTCAATCATAACATATATATATATATATATATATATATATATATATATATATATATATATATATCCTCCATCCCCTGGTCCTGGACCTTGAACTCTGCCTGTCCCTAAGTTCTTTTTGCTCCAGGCTAGCACTCTACCACTTGAGCTTTGGCACTACTTCCATTTGAGATTATGAGTCTCATGGACTTTCTTGCCCTGGCTGGCTTCTAACCATGATCCTCAGATCTCAGCCTCTTGAGTGGCTAAAATTATAGGGGTGAATCACCAGCACCTGGTTTCTGCATACATATATTTTTAATGAAAATAATCTTTTTGTTTTCTGTGTGTGCTGGTCCTATGGCTTGAACTCAAATACGATTCTTGAATTTAGTTCTTTATTATTTATTCTAATATTTATAATTCAATACTTAAATATTAATATGTGAATAGAATTTGATTTGTATTTTCATTCTAAATTTGAGTAGTTGATATATTTACTTATTAGGCACAATTATGGCATCACTTAAAAAGCATTACACCCTCAAACAATAAATTGCATATTGGCTATATATATATATATATTTTTTTTTATTTTTATTTTTCTGGTCCTGGAGTTTGACCTTAGGGCCTGGGCAATCTGCCTAAGCTTTTGTACTTATGGCTAGCACTCTACCAGTTGAGCCACAGTTCCATTTATTTCTCTTTTGGTGCTTAACTGAATATAAGTCTCATAAGCTTTCTTGCCTGGGCTGGCTTTGAGTTGTAATCCTTAGATCTCAGATGTTTGAATAACTAGGAATACAACTGTGAGCCACTGGCACCCGCACTTTGTTATAGTTTTAATATGTATTTTGTTTATGAATTGATGAGTAAGTTGTTTATGAATGGATGAGTAAGTTGATATATGTAGTACTACTTGAGAAAAGAAAAAATTCTAGGTAATAAGATTAAATTTGTTTGTCTGCCTAAATGTCTGAAAACAAAACTTTAGGTTTTATCAAGGGAACAGTAAACTTTTGACATTTATGTTATAGGAAGTTTTGTGGAAATATATCCAACATAGTTTTTGGTTTTTATAGTTGCAAATACTGTATTTCTACTGACCTTATTCATCCTCTTTTCATCTGCCTTTTTAGCCCAAACCCTTCCTACTGCTACCTACCCCATTGAGCCTGTTTCTCTTTCCCTACTTCCCATGCCCCTATAAATCATCAGCTTTCACAGTGCTTAGCATTCTGTTTCTAAAAACAAGAGCTTTGTGTCATTTAATCAGTGGGGCTTGTCACCAGTTGATAGTTTTCACATGTTAACCCCTTAAATTATGAGATGTCTTAAAAGTCTGTGATATTTCAGGGTTGGCAAAATAATGTTTTCTAGTTGAAAAATATAGAGTGACTTGTGGTAAGCATTCAGTAAATGGTAGCTAAGTCAGAAGTTAGCTAGCCCAGTACTGCAAAATATTTGTTAAGTGAAGAGTAATTGGTAATTTTATAACAATAATATTAGATGGAGAAATGAAGATTGGTATGTTTTACTTATTTCAGTTCCTGTCAGAGTGAATTTGTTATCTGGATAGAGGATGACAGTGCTCTTTTCATACTTTTTCTTTTGTCTTTCTGGCTTTGATATTGCATGTTGTCTTATGGAACATTTCTGTTAGATGTTTTAAGACATTGTGAGACTAGAAAACATTTTTCATTTTAAGTATACTCATGCTCTATTACTTTAAAATTATAAAGTTTATTAAGATGCTAATTATTTGTGGCATTCATTTTTAATAGCATAATGAATATTATGTTCATTATATGAAAAAGTGTGAATTTACACATGTGATATTTTCTCATATTTATAAAATTACTTAGGTGCTGGTTGTGGTGTCACATACCTGTAAACTGCTAGCTAGGTAATTGGTGGAGTTAGGAAAAGATTACAGTTTGAGGTTAGTCCAGGCAAAAAGTAATGACCCTAACTCAACAAATAATGACCCTAACTATTATCTATCACTATCTATCTATCTATCTATCTATTTATCTATCTATCTATCTCACTTAACATAATTTTTCCAGGACTTCCATTTATTTGCAAGTAATAAAATATTCTCCTTCAGAGATGTTGAGGATTTCTTCATGTTTGTATTGACTATTTTTATTTCATCTGAGAAGTCTTTGGCTCATTTGCCCATTTATTAATTGGGTTATTAATTTTTGGGGGCTTTAGTTTCTTGAGCTTTTTGTATATTTTCAATATTAGGCCATTGTCTGACGTAGCTGGCAAAGATCTCTCATTCTGTAGGCTATCTTTTTAGCTTATTAATCATGTCCATTGCCATGCAGAAACTTCTTAGTTGAATACAATCACATTGGTCATTTCTTTCTTACTCTTTTTAAGAAGGATGAAACCTCTAATGTCCATGGACTTAATATATTCCCATTGTTAACTTGATTAGCTTAATCCCATTGTTCATATTTCCAAAGGAAATTCAAAGAAGTAAAAAGAATTCTGACCATTCCAGAATGTTTCCTGTTATCTTTTTCAAGTCTATTCTTTTTTTTTTTTTGAGCTATTTCTGTGTTGGTTGCAGTAATCTATTAGATGTAACCTATAGAAGTTATATATTTTTTTTCTTGAGCAGGAGCTCAAATAAAACTTTTTTTTTGGGGGGGGTCCTGTCATGAACTCTGGACCTGGGCGCTGTCCCTCAGCTCTTCAGCTCAAGGCTAGCACTCTACCACTTGAGCCACAGTGCCACTTTCAGCTTTTTTCTTTTTGCTTATGTGCTGAGGAATTGAACCCAGGGCCTCAGGCATGCAAGGCAAGCACTCTACCACTGAGCCTCCTTCCCAGCCCTCAAATAAAACTTTTAAGCAAAAGCACATGAGAAAATGAATGGCATCCAGAGAAGGAGAGAGGAGGTAAGTATGGAGAAGGATCTTGAGAAAGGAGAAAGGAGAAATGTTAAGGCCTATGGAGGTTATAACAAGCAAGATAAATACAAAGATGATGTCTTAAACCTATCTCTAATATATTGGCATGGAATGAGTTTGGTCATAAAGCAGAAAGTCTGAGATAACTGAATGCCTGACATCATTTGTGAGTGATGAAATATAAAGGAGTTTTCCAAGAGGTTTTGGAATTGCTATCTTGTTTTTACAGATGATTTTTATTTCTTACACACATCAATCTGGATGGTATAGATTTTGAACTTCCAAGGGTAGTTCAAGAAATAATGCAGTTCAAGGTCTTAAGTATGATGTTGATTCATTTCCAGTTCTCCATTTCGTGAATCAAAACATCATTAAAAATTTGACAGTTGCATTAAGTTTTTACCATTTTTATATTCTTATGCCAATAAAATTTTCATCCCTGTCAGAGTTACATCATAAAACATTGAACTTCAGAACTCATATTTTCCTAGAACATTTTGTTTTTGCCATTAAATCTTCTTCAAGTAGCTCATCATATTATATGTTCTAACACTTTTTCATACTTCTGAGGAGTAGAATTTATTTTGAAAATTTTGCAGCAGAAGAAAAAAGTCTAAGAGCCAAACAGATTTTGGAAAGTATCAATCACAGTGTTTAAGTTTGATAGTCTTATCCAGATCAACTCTGTATGTGCCTTTCTGTATTGAGATAATTGTGAATTCTTTTTGCCAGACTGTTCTAAAACTCCTCAAGCTCCCTTCATATCTTAGCCTCTTGAATAGCTGGGAAATAGGTATGCTAGCCACCAAACCTAGCTCTATGCTTTGAAATAAGCTAACTTTATATTAACAGATATGCTATCTGTTCAGATATAAGAGTAATTATTCTGTAATTGTATCCTTAAAATAATATCTGGAAAAAGTCTGCTTAAGTATGGGCCATGTAGGTTTTATTTTTCAAAAATTGGAAGGTCTCTTAAGATAGCATCAGCTTATTTTGATTCTAATAAAAACTTTAGTCTAAGAAGATAATTATTCCCACATGGATAAGGTCAACCTTGTTCTGACAACCTTCCCTATGCTAATAACCAATAAACTTAAACTTTCATATATTGCTTATAGAATTAAATGTGGTTGTAATACAGACTCTATTTTAAAATTCAATTCTTTGGCTATATAGAAAATATTTCCTTTGAACAAAGAATGCCAAAGCAATTTATGTGTAGTATTAAGATGAACTCAACAGCTGGTAACCTAAGCTCTGGGCATTGAAGATATCTGGAGGCTATGAAAAAGATCATTTAGGTAGCTCGAAGAGTGGTGTGATTTGAGAAGAAACTGATTTAGTGATTTTTTTGTAGCACTGGGTTAAGTGTAGTACCTGAATCTGAAGTCAGGTAATAGTGGGGTGGCAGTTAATGAGTAGAAAATGACGTTGACTAGGTTTTATAACTTCAGAAGGAGAATTCAAGGAGAATAGCAAGGAGGAAAACTCAGAAGCTGAAAACAATGAATATCTAGAGCCTTTCCCTTTCCTTGCTAATTGCTTGAAGTGTTCTATCAGCCATTACTAAATGCAAGTTTGACTTGTATATATGTATATTAAGTATAGAACTATATGTAGTTTTAGTATATGCAACAATTCTTTTGATATAACTTACAGTAATAGATTTTAAGACCATTAAGTGAAAGAACAGTTGAGGGGCTAGGAATGTGGCTTAGGTAGGCCTGGCATGCATGAAGCCCTGCGTTTGATTCTTCAGTACCACATTAACAAGAAAAGCCAGAAGTCTCGGTGTGGCTCAAATGGTAGAGTGCTAGCCTTGAGCAGAAGTATCTCAGGGACAGTGCGCAAGCCTTGAGTTCAAGTC